GATCCTGTAAATAAAAGTTGCTGATGGCTTGCGCCATCTATCGGACTAAATATCAACTAATCGTTGATTTTTAATTATTCCAGAATTGGCCAGTTTCTTGATTAATCAAGAAAAGCTAACCACGTAACGCGTGTCGGTCTGTTGATTTGAAATATGATGTTGTCAATTACATAGCTGCATAGCATGCAAAATTATTATAACGATCATAAGATTATGTGAAAAAGTATTGTTATGTACAATAATTATGGACAAGGGGATTCTGTCACATATACTCATGGACAAAACTTATGGAAGTGGAAAGTATTTTATGTCGTCGGTCATCTTTTTTTTTTTTTTTGAAGGAGACAGAGGCAATTTTGTTGACACTTGGTTATCTCGTGTGTCTTCAATAAAGGTCACTGTAATATCTTTCAGAGTTATTGTCTAAATCCCGATATACATGTTGAAAGGTACAACTTCCTTAAGTTTTGTTCACACTTGGTTATCTCGTGTGTCTTCAATAAAGGTCACTGTAATATCTTTCAGAGTTATTGTCTAAATCCCGATATACATGTTGAAAGGTACAACTTCCTTAAGTTTTGTTCACACTTGGCTATCTCGTGTGTCTTCAATAAAGATCACTGTGTATCAAATATCTTACATAGTTATTGTCTGAATACCGATATACTTGCTAAAAGGTACAACTTCCTAAGTTTTGATCACACTTGGTTATCTCGTGTGTCTTCAATAAAGGTCACTGTAATAGATTTCAGAGTTATTGTCTGAATACCGATATACATGTTGAAAGGTACAACTTCCTTAAGTTTTGTTCACACTTGGTTATCTCGTGTGTCTTCAATAAAGATCACTGTGTATCAAATATCTTACATAGTTATTGTCTGAATACCGATATACATGTTATAAGGTACAACTTTCTGAAGTTTTGTCCATGAGTAGTGATATACCAAGAAGGAAATATTGGTTTGATAATCTAATAGAATGGTCTGGAATGTATGGCCATGCGACGAAGTATATTGTTCAGAATTTGGTGAAATGACATTCGATGATTACGGACCGCCATATCAACAATGACCGTACTACATCATGGTGTCCAAACTTCTGGCTGCATTGTCCAACTCCAATCTGAAAAACAGGGACAAAATTAGTATAACTAAAATCTATACCAAATTATTGGATAAACAAATATTTATTTGGGATCAAACTAAGTTAGGATCATTTGTCTCGTTCAGGGATTGGCAACATTTTGAGTCGGAAAAGTCAAAAATTACAATTTACAAAATTTAAAAGTTTTTTTAAAGAGTCGCACAGTTTTTTTTTTTTCTCTCGCCAACAATTAAACTGGCGAAACTGCTGGGAGGGTTCAACACTAATGAGCCAGGCCCTCCCATTGATTTTTTCATCGCAGTAAGGGCAGTAGAAATTGTTTAATTTTAATAAGAATCTTACGTGTCTATAATAGTTTCGTATTTTTATAATAGATAGTATTTGAAAAAGTAAAAATCAATTTCAGATAAAAAGTGTTTCTTTTAATTTAAATTTGCAAGCTTTCGAACAAAATATACTGCTCTTCAACGGGCTGATATTCTATGTACAATCTCTAAATAATATTTATATACAGAATAATTGTGAAAAATCAGCCCGTTGAAGAGCAGTATATTTGCTCGAAAGCTTGCGAATACATATTGTATAAATTGTATATATGTTGTATAAATTAAAATAAACTTTTTACCTGAAATTAATTTTTACTTTTTCAAATAATTTTTGGGGAACAATTTCTCACATAAATAAATAGTAGTAAATAATTTGTTTATTTTTGCCAGTACTACACGCAGTTTCACAGCTAAAGAGTCGCTCGCAAGCCACAGGTTACCGATCCCTAGTTTATCCTTCAGCCATAACTGACTGTATTAGTGTACAAAAAAAGCCTAAATATCAATCAATATTCTACACAATAAGATAAACCACATTTAACAGTACTTATCCGTAAATCAAGATCGCGGAAATCACAATTAACTCTACCGAAACACACAAAGTAAATATAAGAACAAATTAAGAACTTTTACTTAAACGACTGGATTACGAAA